GATCTCTGGACCTATGCTATGGTCTGTTATTGTTGTTGTTTTTGTTTAGTTGTTTTTGTTGTTGTTGCTTTTGTTGCTTTTGTTGTTGTTGTTTTTGTTGTTGCTGTTTTTGTTGTTGCTATTTTTGTTTAGTTGTTTTTTGTTGCTGTTTCTGTTTTTTAATGTCATTGTTATTGTTTTGTGAGAGTTATGTTCATATTTTTAAACAATTTCCATTTGTTCATTCAGTTTAAAATTTATTCACTCTCTCTCAATCAATCACTCATTTTGAAATTTAATTTCTTTTAAATCATTCATTCGTTCATTCATTCATTCATTCATTCATTCATTCATTCATTCATTCATTCATTCATTCATTCATTCACTGTAGACAGCATCAGTGCTGCTGAGATGTTTGGAAGAGAGTTCATTCTTTGAAGGTTACAAAAATCTGGAAGAGGATTATGAAGGTGAGTATGATGATAATGATGATAATGATGATGTTCATAATCACGATGATGATAGTTATGATCATGATGATGATAGTGATGATGATTAATAATAAGAATGATGATTGTTCGATTGATTGATTGATTGATCGATCGATCGATTGATTTTGATCTGTTGGCAGCATATTACTCTTAAAATAATGTTGTCTTACATTCATGTTTTTCAATAATATTATTAATAATACGATTTAATTTAAATATTTATGAACATGAATATAGAAAACGAATTTCCCACTGCGCAGGTTTCAGAGCGTTTATTGGGGGCTTGTTACTGAGGCACATATGCCAGCTGATATGTAACGCGCACGCTGTGAATGACCTTGAACTGACCCAGTTAGCTAGCTCCTCATTGGTTGATTCAGAACAGCAGGTTTATATTATCAATTCATTTATCCATCCAATTTATTAAGTATTAGACTGAACCTCCATAGACGATTGTGATTTCTTGGATAGTTTTACATCTGCCTCTTCAAGTGCTCAGGGAAAATTGCGTTTTTGAACATTCTTTGTATTGCCTATTTTATTATAGAACTTTTTAATTCTGCATTGAATTCTATTGAATTTTTATTTCTTTTGGTCATTTGGCAGTAGAAGCAGTGTCCTCATTATTATTATAATTAAATAATAATATTATTATTTATATTATTATTATTGTTGTTATTATTATTATTTTTATTAAAATTCTCCAGGTGAGGATAGCAACGGCTATCTACCCAACAGCCAGCCTGATGAATCACTCCTGCGATCCCAACACCATATCCTGGTTGCCATCAACGTTGCTCTCGTGTTGTTGTTGATGCTATTGTTGTTGTTGTTGTAGTGGTTGTTGTTGTTGTTGTTGTTGTTGTTGATGTTGCTGTTATTGTTATTGTTGTTGTTGTTGTTTTTGTTGTTGTAGTGGTTCACTTCCCAGTTGCGTTTCCCTCCAACCTGCCAAAGATATCAGTTACTAATTTAACAGCGATGGAGTGTGTCGTGGTCAGCTCTTCCAGTTTCCCCTTCAAATCGTATCTGATCCTCAGATCTGTCAGCTGTGTGCATCAGGTCCAAAGGTCTTCCACATCTTCCACTTCTTTCCCACACAGTCCGCATACTGCTGTGTATCACACTGAAGCCGATCCCATGCATACAACTTCTCAATTCCATGTGGCGATGCCCTGTACGGAAGCGACTGCGGTTGGTATGCTCTGCTTTGCTGAGAGACGACTCTCCTATCTTCAACAGTGGTTGGTTAAACGTGTGCCGCCTTGCACCTCGTGTGATTCTCAGTTATCAGCTGTAGCATCTTTTCTGACTTGTAGCCCTCTGACCGTCTGCATGTCGAGCTGTTATTGCTTCTTCATCTGCCTCATCATGGCCGGTAACTCCACAGTGACCGGCCATCAAATCCGAATTCCGAAAATGCAGCTCTTGTTCTTCGTTGGCCACTCTTTCTGTTCGTCTGGCGGGTTTTATGTAGATGTTTTTAAATCTTCTCTGCGAGTTTGGAAAGTAAAAATGTCATTGCATGGTTTTATATATTGGTAAAATATAATTTATTTACTCATCTGCTGGTCGTATTTTTTTGGTTTTCTTTGGCGAAGTTATTCACTTTTTCGTTTTGTGTAACTTCTTAACCGTTGTGGTTTTGCGCCATTGTATCAATAATTCAATCTATTTGATTAAATTTTACTCTATTTTTTTTAAATGTTTTTTTTTAACTTGTGTCTTTATTTTGCTGTTATTGCCTTTTTATACTATTTATTATAATTAATAATTAATAATTAATTATTATTTTATTATTATTATAATTATTATGTAACAATTTTCACCGCAGTTTTCACGGAGACACGTTGCTAGTTCGAGCTCTGAAGAGAATTAAACCCGGCGAAGAAATATTCAATTGCTATGGTGAGTGATGGTGGTGATGATGGTGATGATGATGCTGATTGTCGTGGCGATGATGGTATTGATAGTGATGATGGTGTCTGTCAATGATGATGATGATGATGATGATGATATGGTGATATGATGATGATGATGAGATGATGATGATGACGATGGTGATGATGGTATGGTGATGATGATTACATATACTGGTACGACGACGATGATGATGATGATGGTGGTGGTGATGGTGGTAACGTTATCAGGACCTCATTACAAGAGAATGAGTAGAAGTGACCGGCAGGAAGCACTTCTCAGTCAGTACTCGTTCACCTGTTTGTGTACAGCGTGCGAACGTGAGAACAAACATCATGATGATGATGATGACGACGATGATGATGATGACGATGATCTGAAACATGTTTCTACTATCGCCCCTTGCGATGATGTTAGTTAGTTGATGGTGGGCTGATGATGAAGATGGTGATGACATTATAAGAATTAAATTATTATTATTATATTATTATTATATTATTATTATTATTACAGTGGATCATATTTCTTATTCTACCTTTTCTCACTCATTTTATTATGCATTATTTGTCAATGTAGGTGTTTATCTGTAAGAGCTGTCAGGGGAGGTTGGTGCGATGTAGTCATCATCATCATCACCACCGACATTCTCCTACTCATAAATCATCATCTAAGCAGGCCAGCAGTGGAGATAGTATCAGTGATAACGTTATCAGTAGTAGAAATATTAGTAGCACTGATGATGGGGATGATGATAGGATGGTTAAATATGTATGCGTGGATTGTAAGACTGGTGCAGATGAGAACCATTCCAAGTTGATAAGTAAGAACTTTGACGAGTCCAACGCGTTGTTTGAACTGGCGAACGATCACCTACGGCGAGGAAATACCGATGGTTCGTTCCACTATCAACACTCGCATTTTTTCATTGACAACTCTCCAATTCTTGTTAATTTTCCCACCAACTCATTCAAGCATCAATTAACTTAGTGCTTATAACGGCGGTTGTGCTAAATCAGGTTGACCAAATGATAAATATTTAACAGCAATGCCTAGAGCATAATCATTATGGTTGATACAAAAGATTTAGATTCACGGGGTTTCAACTGTATTGTACATAAGATTCATTTCATGTCATGTCTGTTGGAAACGATCTAAAAATGTTCAGCACGATCAAGATTGTTGCAATTATTTTATTTAAAAATTTTCAACGTAACTCTGCAGAGGCATACGGCTTGTTCGAAAGATGTTGCTCGTTGAGGAAGGCAATATACCAGCCAATGAGCATTCAGGTTGCAAATGTGTTGGATGCTCTCGCCCAATCATCTTCTATTATTGGTACATAAGGCATTTTACTTTATACACTGCGTTAAACTCTTATTAAATTTCAAAAACTATTAGATTAATAAATGTTAATTAATAAACTAGTTAATTTATCTATTTATTTTTATTCATTTATTAACTAACAAGAAAATCCATGAAAGTTGTTGTGTTTATCAGGTGACTTTCCCACCTCACAAAGTTACCTCAAGTGCAGTTTGTCGATAGTGGAGCACGTGTACGGTAGGAAGAGCATTGAACACGCCAATGAAGTGAGGAAGTACTCGGAAGTTTGCTGGCAGGCTGGCTCGCTGGAGGAGGCCAGAGATTCTGCTGGGAAGGCGCTGAGGATGTTTGAAGTTTTGTACGGACATGAGCACAAAAGTTGTCATGAACTACGAAATGCCATAGCGTCGATGAATTTCTGCCTTTCATGATATTTTTTATTTTTAACTTTCTATACTTTGTTGGCTGAATTTTTATAAAAATTTTAGTTGTAGTTGTAGTATACATAGAAGAATGTAATAGAAGTCCACAAATTTGGTGCGTTCAATAAAACTCGATGATCATAGCATAGGAATGATCAAATAAACTTTCCGTCGATTAGTTCGATTTAAATCAATAACTAAATAAATACTAAACAGTACAATAAATTGACACAAACTGGACAAAATATATTTAATTAAAATTTGTTCACCTCTTTTAAACACAAAAACCACCTTAACTCTGGTGGTCGTAAAAATGTGGTCATCTCAAGCCAAATAGTCAACCAATCAGTGACACCTAATTTCTTGAAAGTCTGTTTCAAAAACACGCACAACCATGGATATTATATATATCCAAGCTCACAGCACACACAAATACACACACACACATCGTTAAGAAATCAAACAAAAAAGCAATTGAATTTTATGTAGCTCCTCATGATTTATATTCTTGTTTTTTTAGTACTTGACTCCGGCCATTTAAACATTTAAATTTCTGCTGCGGTCTATTTCGCGGGAAATTTAAACTAACGGCTAATTATTTAAGCCATAACAGTATTTTCATCTAACTAAACGAACATTTCGTTTCCATGAAAATATGGCCATTGTAAAAGCAAAAGCATTCTATAACTTTGGCTTCTCCCAAATAAGTTCCGGGAACATAAACTTCATTGATGACGTAACGATGATGTTTCCAAGTGGTACATGTTGCATCCTGTTGAATATGGAGTACAACACCCAACGTACCATCAACAGTGGCACGGACGGCAACTCCATCACGGCCATGGCTGTCAACCTCAAGAAAAGAGTTCTGGCCTTTGCCGAGCTGGTATGTATTGGTATTCATTTCTATTTCATTGTCAACCGAATCAGAAATCTTCAGAAACCATCTTTAATATTTTCAAATTGTTAATAAAATTGATCGCATAATTGTGTTGACGGATTTTGTAGCTAACATAAAATTTCAATATTACGTTAAAGTCGTTAACTAAGTTTTTTTAATATAATCTTAGAATTTCAACAGGAATTGAACTATAACTTTTACTGGAGTTTAACATTGACTTATGAAGCTTTTGCATAGTTATATGTTTGCCTGCAAAATCAATGCAATCAATTTTAAGAGGCGATTGTATTCTAAAACTTCATGATTGATGAGACGAAACTAGCAAATAAATTGGAATCATTCACAATCTATCTGAGTATATAATTTAAAAAATATATTAAAAATCTTGAAATATTTTGAGATTTTAAATTTATTTATTAATATCAATAGTAAGTTTGTAACCTAAAGCATTAACTGCATTACTGTTCAGTGTTTTTGTTATTGTTAGTTTGAATATTCGCACAGTTACAATAAAAAAGACATACAAACGTGTACACATTCAGAAAAAGGACCAGGTACCTGTAATATTTGTGTACGACTTTGACACGTGCACGCAACACAAAGTCATCTTTCAGACAGCGATCGACGCATCCAGCTACACCAGTTTGGCATTCTCCTCGAACGGAAAGTACCTGGCAGCTGTCGGGCTGAAGAGCCAAAACGAATACTACATCTTCATGTGGCTCTGGGATAGGGCTCACCTCTTCGAATATTACGAAATTGATCCTGACGACTTGCAGAAGAGAAAGAATTACACGGTGGACCTACACAAATAATTACAATAATATATATGAGAATTACAAATATATATATATATATATATATATATATATATATATATATACAATATATATACAACGTCCTACCTCGGGAAACTGGGTCTCTGGACGCTAAACGAAGATTGATATATATAAATGTACACACAACGTTTCAATTCGAACACCGAAGATGGTATTTGAATACCGAAAAAAGCCTTTTTGTTCTACCATGCCTAAATGTTCTACCATGCTTAAAATAAATAAAAATTTTGGCTTTGAACTCAAGAAACTTGACAATGATTTACGATCTACCGTAAGAAAAATCGAAAAATTAAACAGGAGGCTGACGCAGAACATGCTGTTATTCTCATCAATAATTATATATATATATATATGTGTGTGTGTGTGTGTGTGTTTGTGTATGTGTTAGTATTTCAGTATTCTACTTAACTTGTTACATTCTATTTTCATTTCTTTGTTAGTCTTTTTTTTTTGTTATTCAGAAAACAGTTAAATAACTTAGTCCAAATCATATCAAGCAAGGCATTTATATACAGCAATGCATTGATACTGCATCAGCAGATGTTACTCATTAGAGTATTTATTGCCCCCCACAATAAATCAGTAATTTATTGATTTAAATTAAATTTATTTGTCAGAACATTTCAATTGTAATCTTATCTTTATAATTAAGAGGATGTCCTGACTGTGGTATGATGAAGATGATGGTGATATGAAGACGATGATGATGATTGTGGTATGACCATGTTGGTCAAAACAAATTAATTTAAATTAATGGAATGCATATATACCGCCAAATGAGCCAGGCGTTATTCAATCCAGTGAAGAATGAAATTCTCACTGTCCTGGGTTCGAATACGTACAAATTCTACAAGCTGCAGGACTTCAGGCTTCAGGTCATGGCAGAGTTCAGCAGTCCTGGCGCCAGCAATTCGTCCTTGTTTAGAGAGTACGAACCTAGCGCGTACGTCAGTCAGGCTTGGTTTGATGCCAACATTTATCTTCTTGGTTGGCTGGCTGGCTGGCTGGTTGATCGATTGATTGGTGAATTATGTATTTGATTAGATCGTTTGTTGGATGATTGATTGGTTGGCTGATTGATCGGTTGGCTGGTTGTTTGGTTGATGTTCAATTGAGTGGTTAATTTAATTTAATTGGGTGATTGTTTGTTTGATGGGCAGATTATTCAATTAAGTAGTTAGTTGGTTGATTGACGGGTTATTTGATTGATAGATTGATTGATTGATTGATTGATTGAATGGTTGATTGATTGATTGTTTTATTAATTAGTATGCTGGTGCTTGCTCGTTACAATTAATTCAACTTACACCAAATCTTTATTGTTTTTTAAAAGATTTATTTTAATTTACAACTGCCATAGTCAAAAAATACGATGTCTTACATGCATACATTCATTCATTCATTCATTCATTCAATATAAGTCAGTCTTTCATCTATTCTTTCAGTTTTCATTCATTCATTAATTCATCCATCCATTCATTCACCTACAATCACAGGCTTGACGAGCAACATAGTATATGTGATAGACAACGAGCAGATAATTCAGGAGTTGGAGGTCTGCTCCCTTGACACTGACAGTGTTGACTCGTACGTTTATTTACAGCTGTTTCCACTTTTGTATAAATTTGTGTGTGTGTGTTTGTTTTTTGTATGCGTTTGTGTGTGTGTGTTTGTTTGTGTGTGTTTGTTTGTGTGTGTGTGTTTGCTCTGTGTGTATGTGTGTGTGTGGGTTTGCTGTGTGTGTTTGTTTTGTGTATGTGTTTGTGTGTGTTTGTGTGAGTGTGTGTGTCTGGTTTTGCGTTTTTGTTGTTTTATTTTTAATTGGTTTTGTTCTTTTTTGTTATTCATTTCCTTCGCTGTGGAATCATTTAACAATCAGACATGAAAGAACTGAGGACCTCGTCGTCCGGTCGATCGTTGCAGTTGAACACGGTAGTGTGCTGCTTGTTATCTACCACACTAGTGACCATGATTATGATGGTGATAACGATGATAACGATGACGGTAATGATGACAATGAGTAAAAACGTATACATACAAACACGTGGGAGAGATTCGTCTTCTATTGTATTCGTACATGAGAGAGAATGATCTCAACCTTTATTTATGCACAACACACGCACATACAACAAACACATGCATTGATATACACTTACACACATATTTAATTAGCACTCATGTACAGACACATACACACTACAACATACACACTACAACACACACACACACTACAACACACACACACGTACTTATACACACACGTACATATACACACACGTACATATACACACACTCGCGTAGGTTTTTGGTGCACGTGTGGCAAGGACAGCATACATTACTTTGAGAGGACAGACAGTTCAGAGGATATGTTCGTTAAGAAGAGAGAGTTGAAGGTACTCTTGAATGAAGGGCCGGATTTGGAGGTCAAGAGAGGCCCCGAAACAATCATGGGGCGAAGTCCTTTTATTATTTTTCGAATCAAAAGGGCAATTTGTTGCGTTAAGTCTTTTTAATATTTGTCCCAAACAAAGTAATCATTTGAACAAAAATTGAAGTAATTTGTTGAAGTAAAGCACAGTTTATCAAAATCTAAATTATTTTGTCAATAAATAGAACAATATTATCATGTTTGCACAAATTTGTCGGTGATAATTGTAAAAGAAAACTTTTAGTTTATAAACCCAGAAGTTGCTTACTTTAAATAATTTCCATCTCCATTGTGGGATCCCTTTCTTGTGAGTGGAAGCCCTGGGCGGTAACCTCGATGAGCCTGCCCTCTCTTTGCCCAACTTTATTTTAAAGAAACGTTTGTTAAATTTGTTGATGATGTTATTTCCGTTTTTAATGCTTAAAATAAAAATGACCAATCTCACTCATTATAGCGATGCACTGGTCTGTAGTGATGGTCGTTTACAGTTGATATCTTCATCATCATCATTCTGTTACGTCATTGACACCATCATCATCATTCTGTTACGTCACAGACATCTTGTTATTATCATTATTATTATCATCATTATTATTATTAAAAGATGATATTGAGGATGGAGACGGACGAGGACCTGGCGGACATGTGGACATCGAACTCGTACTTCTCGAGCATGTGCGTCAACCCGTCGGGTACATGTGCACTCGCCCTCAATGATAAAGGGCATGTGTACTCGTGCAACCTTGCTGAGGAAAATAAATGGGTTTGTAATTACGATAGTAAGTGCAAAGGTCACCAATTTAATGGCGCTGGTGACGATGTGGATGGCGGTTATGACAATAATAAGGTCAATGATATTAACTGCTTTCGATATAACTTTTTATTGCTGTCATCTCAACATTATCGCTGCTGTTCGTCGCTTATGTTAGTTGCCTATGATTTTGTCATATCACTTTCGTCATTCAACTCTGCAGCTTATTTCACCAAATTTGGTTATCATCTATACCATCTTATTTTGGCAAACATCATCTTCTTGACCGGCCATCCACTACCCACATGACCCTCACCCCACAGTATGCCGAGGTCAACTTTACAAGGGTCACCCCACTCGTCCACACGGACGTCATCACCGGGCTGGATGTATGTGTCCGCAAGCCCTACATCGCCACCTGTTCACTGGATAAGTCCGTTAAGATATGGGATTATAGTACTTTGTTAGTGTCGTTGTGTTTGTTGCTAGTTACTTTTGTGCTGTTGTTGATGGTGTTTTGTTTTTGCTCTCGTGTGTTTATGCTCCTGCTACTGTTGTTGTTGTTTGTTGTTGTTGTTGTTTATGCTGCTGCTGTTTATGCTGCTGCTGTTGTTGCTGCTGCTGTTGTTGTTGTTGTTCATATTTTGAAAAGTTTCAAGCTTGCATGTGACTGTTTGGATAACTGACTGAAGCCAGCTGTCGCCAACGTCCCCATCGCCAACATTCACAATCATCGTCGTGACAATAACCATTTTGGCCATCATTGCCATCGTTATCATAATCATTTAATCATTATTCATCACCCTTACTCACGTAGCGTGTTGAAAGTTTCAAAGACGTTCAGCGAGTCGCTGTTGAGCCTGTCCATGCATCCGCGCGGTCACATCCTCCTCATCGGCTTCTCCACGTGCGTCAAGCTGCTCAACATCTTCACTGACGACCTTCAACCTTTCAAAGTTCTGCCCATCAGTCCGTGCACTGTTGTTAGTTCACGTGGGGAGAGTTTGAAGTTAAACATTAAACATTGTTAACATCACGTCATTGTCACCATCGTAACATTGTTGTGGTCGTCATCAGTTTCATTTATATTATCTGCATCACCATCACCATCGTCGTCATCATTTCTTGCTATTATCATCTTCATCATTATAGCTTGTCATCATCTTCATGATCTTGTTCTTTGCAGTGCAGTTTCGCGCACGGAGGCCACATGTTTGCAGTGGCGAAAATGAACATAGTCGAGATCTACTCCTCGGTCAACTTCCAACTGGTCTCCCTCTTCAAGACACACCTGGACATGGTCAGGAGCATGTGCTGGACTGATAATGATGCCCGCATCGTCAGTGCTGGAAGAGATGGAGCCATCTATGAATGGGAGGTCTCTGTAGAAGTTCTTTTACATTTTAACTTGCCGGTTACCTAGCTTTATAATGTTACATGGCTTCATATTGAAAGAGTTGATATTGTCCGCCTGCATAGGTGTTGACAGCAAAAAGATTCTCAGAGAATGTTGTGAAGGGCTGCAGTTATTCGAGCATTGTCTTGGACGGCAAAAACATTTATGCTGTTGGATCAGATCAAGCTATCAAGGAAATCAATGATTCCGTGGTTTGTAGGCTGTTCGTGCGTGCGTGTGTTTGTGGTGTGTGTGCGTGTATATGCTTTGCTTTCATTCGCTTGGATTGTCTGAATGTATGCGTGTGTTTTTAGAAAGAAGTACCAGGGGGTGTGTGCGTGTTTATTTGGAAGTGTGCGCACGAGTATGTGTATGTATGATGTGTGTGTGTGGATTTCTGTAAAAGAATGAATGAATGAATGAATGAATGAACGAATAAATTAATGAATGAACAAATGAATTAATTAATTATTAAATGTCTGCGTCAGCGCTGAATACAATGTTCGACGCCGTAGTAATTATGTCTTTCGTTAGCGAGGAGGAACAATGATTCATCCCGTGTAACACGCACAACATGAGCAGATAACAATGGATCTGGCATGTGGCATGGTCCCCATGACTCAGATAACGATGACGCATTCAAGTCGGATCATGTTTTTGGGACTGAGTGACGGACGCATCAGATCCATGAGGTTCCCCCTCACCGATCCCCCCGACTGGATCGAGTTGAATGGACACTGCGCCGCTATCAGAGGGGTGCGTTCCTGATGATGACGTTGTGATGACGCTGTTTATTTTGTTGCGGTTGGTGATGATAAATATTTTTTTTCATTATAACGATGAGAACAAAGCAGGAATAAACACTCGTAATCAAAAAAAACTCGTAATCATAGTCCCAATATTCACACTTCGATACTCATTTTATTCGCTCGCACCCATGTTCGTATTTAAGATTATCTATTTTTTCATTTTAATTCACTCCTACACGCACTGCCACCAACGCACTGCCACACACCAACCCTTGCGTTGATTGACAGCTGAGAGTGACATGCGACGACCACTACTTGATCTCGTCGTCAGAGGACACTTCCCTCATCGTCTGGCAGATCCTCGACAGGCACCTCATTGGCCAGACCAGGGTGGCGAAACCCTACACTGCCGAGGTGCTCGTCCTGCCTCCTGATGTCGAAAAGAAGGTCTCAGATGATTTATTTTTAAAGTCATAGCTTAACTGTGGCTTTTTTTTTTGCTATTCATCCACCTAGTTAATCGGCCTTTGATTGTCGATTGTATTATTGTTTTTCGGCTGTTTTGGTCTAGAAAGGTAATGTTATATTGTTAGCGTTTCATTGTTAATGTTATATTATATTATATGACGTCATCATACCACCACCATCGCCGCCGTCGTCGCCACATGACCAGGACAACACGATCAGAGGCTTGGAGCTGCGTGCAGAGGAGCTGCAGTCCGAGATACCCTACCAGGTTCTGCAGAAGGACATCACGTACAACGAGGCACTGCACACCAAACTCATCCAGTTCTTCGCAGAGGTCGAACTACTCAAAGAAGTTAACATGGTCAGCCTCAGGGGTGGTGGTACTGCTGCTGCCGCTGGTAGTAGTAGTAGTGGTTGTTAATAATAATAATAATAACGGACGGGGCGTGATGACCCACTGGTTAGAGGTGCATGGTCTTGCTGCTGCAGTGACTGGGTTCGAATACAAAGAGATCCCCGCCTATCGTATGCAATGTGTATGCTGCGTGGTTTTCCCGCGTATTCATATACGCTGTGTGTGTTTGTCGTTGAAACCTCTGAAGCAAGCGCAAAAGAGAGAGTAACCTTTAACACCAACAACAATAATAATAATAATAATAATGGCAGGAATAATGGTAATAATAAAATAATAATTCGGTTGACCAATAGCTGCTGACGAAAGAGCAGAAGGCCTTGGAGGAGGCATTCATGAAGAGTGTCGGCAAGCTGCAGAAGAAGTATGAGGACCAGAGTGAAATTATCGGTCCGTTCTCGAGCTGGTCACCATCGTGATTGTGATTATAGCAATCACGATGATGATGATGATTATTATTATTATTATTATTATTATTATGGTAATCATGATGATAATGATGATGATGATGATGATGGTGATGATGTATTTTGACAGTACATCCTTTTGAGGGTTACGATGACACTGGTGTTTATGATGAAAACGATACTAATAATTTTTTTTTTTTTGTATTTTTATCATCATTATCTTCATTATCACTGTGCTTTGCAACGGCCAATTGTGACAAATCAGAGACCCAGAACAAGCAGCTGTTGATGGCCGAGTTCGGCAAGTACCAGGAGCTGAAGGACAAGGACACTCGCATGAAGAAGGAGTATCGGAGGAAGCTGGACGAACTGGACAGGAGGATCGACATCACCAATCACAAACTCAAGATGGCCTATGACCTCAGGAATAAAAAAGTTTGTCCATTTGTGTACCTATGCGTTGGTCGATTGTCTACCTGTCTCTTTATCATTGTAGTGAGTAGTAGTAGTATTGGTAGAAGTGTAGTTGTAGTAGTAGTAGAAGTAGTAATAGTAGTATTAGTAGTAGTAGTATTAGTAGTAGTAGTGGTAGTAGTAGTAGTAGTCGTGTCACCCAGAAGAGACCTTTTGTGGCCATAAAGCAAAGTTTTTGCCGTAGTTAGTGGCGAAACTGTGATTTTTGCAATTCATTGATTGCTAATTACTTCAATGGCAAATAAAAAATTTAATAGAGCAGCGTCAACGATTCGACGTGTCATTATATTTATACACTTTTAAACCTAGTATTCATGTTTTTATAATATGAATTGGTAATGAAATATCACATGAACGTAAATGTCAATCATCCCAGCCTCAGCCAATCCAGTACGATTTCTCGAGAGAGTGGGAGGAGATGAAGAGGCAGATCGAAGAGGACAACGACACTCGCATCATGGATTTTTTGACGGTCTTGTTTGATTTGAAACAATAACTTTTTAAAATAAATATCAGTTTTATAATATATTTTTCCATGTATTTGTCTACTCTATTTATTTTTGAGTGGCGAGCTGGTGAAATGGTTAAGGTGCCTGCACGTGCTTTTACGGTGACTTGGTTTGAATGCAAGAGATTCCCGCCTGTCACACGCTGTATAATGTGTAGATCGTAGTTTGTGTTGTTCTGTTAATGTTACTGAGAATCAACGAAGAAAGAACATTTGTCGTTCTCTTTTATTCATTTATGGATTGTTCAGTCATTCGTCTTTCGTTTAACATTTCATTCATTCATTCGCTTTAAATATAATTTTCAACATTTACAGGTTTCTCAGGAAAAGTTGACGAGGCTTAAACAAATGACATCATCGTTGAAAGTATTTGTTTTTATGTCGAGTTTGTTGAGGTTGTTGAGTCATGGTTTTTTGTAGGTAGCTTATTAGAGATACACCAAATGGTGAATTTGGCCGAAGGGGGAATAATTGATTCACTTTTCGCACTTTTCGACCAAACACTAAAAAACTCACATTTAAAAAGAAAACTCAGAAAATACTTTTTCACAAAGAAAAACATCCTGTTGGAGAACAGTAGACGATTTAAGTCTGTTCAAAAATTCTTCATCCAGATAGCATTCAATCTAATGTTTATGTTGTTGTTCTGCCGAGAGGATTGTGTCCCATTATAATTAATCTTTCTTTTTAACCCATTATAATCTCTGCTCTTTCTCGTGCACTAAACACTTGCACATGCAGATACTGGCATATGTAAAAACACACCAACGTGATACACGAATAAATACACACTCGTACACGCACACATGTGCGTAGACATACAAACACACACAGATTTATATACACTGACTTATTATGATGCACACATACACACACACACACGTATATACACACATACACGTACACACACACACAGGCAGAAAACTACACGATAAAGAAGAGCATAATTTTTCTGAAGAAGACGATAGATGAGAATATTTTGTTGTCTGGCAAGCAGCAGGTTGAGATGGAGAGGTTGAGAAACAACACCGAGTCACTGTCGAATGTCTTCGATAGTATCAAGAAGAACGTGTTGGACAAGGAAAAGTTGATCAATGAAAAGGTTTTCGATCTTGTGTTTTCTTTGTTGTTGTTGTTGGTTGTTGTTGTGTGCTGTTGGTTGTTGTGTTGTTTTTGTGCTGTTGGTTGTTGTTGTGTTGTTGTTGTTGTGTTGTTGGTTGTTTTTGTGTTTTTGGCTGGCGTGTTGTTAGTTGTGTTGGTTGTTGTGTTGTTGGTTGTTGTTGTGTTCTTGTTACGATGTTGGTTGTTGTTGTTGTTGTGTTGGTTGTTGTGTTGTTGGTTGCTGTGTTGTTGGTTGTAGATAACATTAACCGGTAGTTGTTGGTGGAATTTGTTTTTTTTTGTCATTTTTATTATTTTAATCATTTAAATATTTTAACCATAATAACTTTGTTAGATCATCATCATAATCTTGTCATCATCAACCTTTTTGCCACTAATCCTATGATCACAATCATCTTTAAACAGGAAGAAGTTCTGACAGATTTGCGAAAAGTGAATCAAAATTTGAAAAAATCAGCGGAAATCTTGGATTCACGAATTCAAGAGTTGGAGAAAAATTTAGAAGGAAAGCAGTCAGAGACCAAAAGTTTGAGGCATTCTATTGAATTGGTTGGTTGTGGTTGGCTGTTGATTGGTTGGCTGTTGATTGGTTGGCTGTTGAATGGTTGGTTGCTGATTGGCTAGTTGTTGATTGATTGTTGGCTACTTGATTGCTAAATATTTAGTTGATTGGTTGTTTTTTAGTAAACGGATCTCAATATATCATTTGATTCGTCAATTTTTTTGCATCTTGATTCATTGTCCGTGTAAATAGATTAAAAGTTAATTCGAAAAATGTCAATACGCTGGTATTATCATACCTGTCTATAACAGCATATGCAACTGGCAAATGGAAACCTGACAATCGTCATCATCACTTGACTCAATAATATTATAATAATAATTACGTCACATTTATTACTATAATATAATAACAATAATAATAATAAATGACGTCATCGTCAGAAAGAGACAGAGCTGACGAAGTTGCGTGAAAAGATATGCAACCTAGAGGACATGAACACGAAGATTTCTGACCGTGAGAAGGTCGACCTCTCTAAGAAGAAAAAAGTTAAACGAGAAGTAAGCCACTTAAGTTCTTTCGCTTCTCTTTTTTTTCATCGTGTCTGGAAATGGCATCATACGGCTGGCGAAATGGTCAAATGGCTAAAGTTGCCTGATCATTCGCTACAGGACCGCGTTCAAATGCAAAATGATCTCCGTCGGTCATATACAGCGTGCTAGGAGGTGCCTTCGTTCATCATTAAAAATGTCATCACCCCACCAAACCACCAACCTCATGGAACAGTTGCAGATGACCAAGCAGAGCTTCAAGATGTTGAACAATGACATCTACGAATGCACGGGCCTCATACACAGGACGAATGAACTGAGGAGTAAGGTCGCCGCCATGGTCGAGGCAACCTTTCACCTCAACAAAGAAGTGGTCAGTCACGTGGTGATGGTGGTGATAAAAATATTGTTGGTGGAAATGATAAAATGAATTCAATAGAATTTTAATGGATGAAAATATTTTGTTTTGTTATTTATGATAACAATGGAATTGATTTGGCTGCTGTTAAGTAGAGTGTCAGATTCGGATCAGAATCTGTCGGCTCCGACTTGTTGATTGAAAATTTTCCGACCCTTGTCTAGAACCTAGTTGATCGTTTATAACTTTGTATTACAGCCATTTCAATTATGAAATAAAATGTAATAATTTCTTACGTTTAAAATTATTTTTGTGATTATAGCTTCATGAATTAAGGCTGGGGGGATGTGATACGTTACATTATGATATATTAACGATTGATTGTTTGATTGATCAATTGATCATTTAATAGTTCGATGAATTGACCGAGCGATGGATGGATGGATGGTTTAATTTTTTGATTGAAAGGTGGAGCAGGACCAGATGGATATCGACAGTTTGTGTGACTTCAACGCTCAGAGGTCGCACCTGAAGATGACGGTGACGAAGACGAAGAAGGAGATGAAGGGACAAATGTTGATGCAAGAGAAGAAGGAACTCAACAATATGCAAGTTCGTGCTGGTTGGTGGTAGTGGTGGGTTGTCTTTGTCACTGCCATGTATTTGTATTATGATAATGTGTAAAGTTGTAATAGTTATTTTTACAATAATGAATGAATTTTTTAATTAGTGGACAATTTATAAACCTCAAATTTAGAAAAATGGCCGACACATGGACGAGATAGAATCCTTGAAATTAGGTTTAAAGAAAAGCAAAGAACAGTTGAAGTCTCTCTACTCTCAGTTCTTCAACAGAAGACCTGACATAAGCTCCAAACAGTTGCAGGAGATGATGGTGAAAGCCATTCCTGACTTCCGCATGCTGGGGCAAGTAGCTGAGCTGGCGAGAACAATTGAGCTGAATTCTCAGTTGATAAATGATCTGCAGATTGAAAATTGTTACTTAAAGGCAGGTGCGGAAGAGGAGGCTTACGACCAGCTCTACAATTCAAATCGTAATGTGCCTTTGTATAAACGAAATAAAAGCAATTTTAGATAAAATTACAATGGATGTAACGTTTCTTTCTTTATGCAATTTTCTTGCGTTAATCTTAAGTAATTTTTTAGTTAAGGTGTGGAGCTGTTTTGTATAATGTAGTGTAATGTATGCTGATGTATATACACTATTTTTTTACATGTGCGTATGCTTATGTTTGTACAACTACGTACGTAGTGTAATGTATGCTGATGTATATACACAGTGTATTTTTTTACATGTGCGTATGGTTTATTTTGTACAGCTGTGTACATACATGCATACGTTTTGTTAAAGTGTTCTCACTTGCATTGATTAAATGGTTAATTTGCATACTTTAAAACATTTTTGGCATTCCGTTGTACTCTTTATAATTACATTAGCTTAATTTCGTTCGCGTTTTTTTACTGCAAGGCATAAAGTGTTGGTTTTTCAAGTGATTCTATTTGACAGTTTTGCATTGATTTATTTTATTGTTTAATGGGTTTTTTAAATATAATGATTTTATTTCATTTAAAATTTTGATTTTTCAGATTGTTGAATCCCGTAGCAAGAAATTGAACTCGCAAGACGACCGGTCGTTTAAAAATCGTGAACACTGCTTTCTAATTTCTTTTGTTGAGAGAACAAAAAAAACGAAAATAGTTTTGTCTGTGAACGTCAAGCAAATAAAATAAGCAGGCGAAATCGAAGATATTTCCAATCCTACATTTTATGATGAGCTTGCAAATTTAACTTCCATATTGGGCAGACTAGCAAGTACTAATAACTAAAGTTAATATTAGTTTTAATTTCAAAGTACCACAAGTACCAAGAAAGTTTTCACTCTGAACTGTGCTTCTGCTTTTCTTGTTAAATGTTTAATTTCAGTAAATCAGTCAGACCTGTCTCTTGAAAATTGGAAACACAAGCTTATCTCAAATTAGAAATCAGGGTTTAATATTATCAGTCAATAAATCTTAAATTTAAATAATTTTTAATAATGAAAAGATAGCAGTTTGTCTAGTTGATTATATTGTTATTATTGTGTTCTTCTCATCCAGTCAATATGCCTGACCAAAAGCAGCTAAAAAATGTTAATTATTCAGAAAGAATCTTGTCAAGCTTTCAAGATTTTAAAAATGATAACGTATTATCAGATATTATACTCATTGCCGGTCAAAGTCAATATCACTGTCATAAAGTAATTTTAGCTGCTAGTAGTCCCTATTTCAAGGCCATGTTTACCTCAGCTCTGAAGGAAAGTCGTGACAATGCTGTCGAGTTCACTGAAATGTCAGGCCATATACTAGATGAAATTGTAAATTATGTGTATTCAGGTATTGCTGAGGTAAATCGTGATAATGCTCAAGAATTGCTTACAGCTGCTCATTTACTTCAGTTCAACGAAGTGAGTTAAATTATTCCAAATTTGTATGTCTGCTTCAACAAATTGTCAATTACGAAATATATTTTCCAGATACATCTATTACTTTTATTTCTTTCAAGCATGGTGAAATTTCTCAATTTATAATTTGGAGATATTTGAAATTAGTCAATTTATGTCATGTTTTCCATTGATCTCAAACTTTTAAAGCATGTTGCAATCATTTATTTCAATTTACAGAAATTAATTTGTCAATTTCATAAAATCAAATTTTTAAAGTTTTTCATTATTCTGAATAAAAAATCTCTAATTCTAACCTCTGAAAAAGTTATGTTAGATAATTTGTTAACAATAATTTCAGAATTTTGGCATCGTTCTCTATTCTTTTTTCACTCCAAGTTGATATTTAACAAGTCTTTTCAACTTTAACAGATTGTGGAAGCTTGTTGTGATTTCCTTCGAGCTCATCTTCATCCAAGTAACTGTCTTGGCATTGAATGGTTGTCTAGACTCCATTCACTACCTAAACTGGAAGCTGAAGCACAGAATTATGCTATTGAAAATTTTGACAGGGTATTAGATTATGATGAATTTTTAAAATTACCTGACGATCGACTACAATGGTATCTTCAGCTTTCAGAAATTGATGTTAGTTCTGAAGAGAAATTATTTGAGTCAGTTGAACGATGGTCAGAAAAACAAAAAGTCACAGATGATGTATTGTGTCAAATTTTCAATGTAATTCGTTTCAATTCTATGCCTGTTAGCTATGTCAACGATAAAGTCATGAAAAACAAACACTTTTCTCAATGTTCAAAATGTCAACAGCTTTACACAAATTTAGAAGTTTCAGACAATGTGCCACCTTGTGAAATTAACCCCAGGCCTTCCACACTTGCAAAAGATGTCATAGTTTTACTTGGAAATGATCCTGAAACAGGATTGGGAATGATGTATGCATTTGAACCTCTCAGAGAAAGATGGTCTGCCTTAAGTGATGCTAAAGGACTTCCATGTGTTTTAGATGGTGTTGCTATAACAACTGTTGGAAACAATATTTTCATAACTGGAGGCATAAGAGACGAAGAAATTGTTTCAGAAGTATGGTGTTTTTCTTCAAAAGATCGTAAATGGATCTCCTTGCCTAATCTAAAGAAACCAAGAGCCCTACATAGTTGTGCCTCCCACAACAACCAGATTTTTGTAATAAGTGGAACTGACAACATAGCATCAATGGTTAAACAGAGTGTACCACATGAGACAATTGAAAGATTAGACTTGAAAGATACTGTCTCAAACGGTAACTCCGTTAAACTTGATGGCTATGATTTGGCAAAACTTGAATGGGAGGAAATAGCCAAAATATCATATCCCAGAATCAAATCCATGACTATTTGCTATAAAGAAACATTGATTGAAGTAGGAGGATATCAATTTTCCATTCCAGTAAAGAAGTTGGAGGTGTACAACTGTTCATTCAAAAATCCAGGAGGTGCTAACAAAAAATCACCAACATTAAGCAAGAAGCTCTCCCAATCTTTATCTTTTTATGGTGCAGAACAATACATTTTGCCTGAGCCCATTGAACACGGAAGAATGGTTTCAGTGAATGATGATCTGTACATTTTATGGCAAGATGCTAAAAAATTCATCTCATTGAACCCTGAGAAAAAAAACTTCCAAAACCTGGCTAGGCCATGTTCACATAGTACTAACAGTTCATTAGTGGTCATAGGAAACAGGATATACCTAATAGGCTGCCATGTGGACACAGGTCGTGAAGATTTCCTAAGCATTGAATACTTTGATGTTGAAAGCTGTGACTGGTGCCAAACCGCATCGATCAGGAGAGCGTTAAGGAACATACAATGTGCCGTGGTTAAAATGAGGTGCACATACGATTAAAACTGTATAAACTCGTGCACATTTTATCGAGCTGTCGTTTCAAAAAGTTACTTATCAATTACTTGTCTGATTTTAATTAGGTGCAAATCAATTATATCGTTCATACGTATATGTTGAATTTTTTCATTATTTGTCCGCAATACTCGTCATTTATTTATTCACTTTTTATTAATTTATATTTTCTCTATTTTTCAATGTAGACTCTAACAAGATTGTTTAAAAGTACACAAATGAAAACTAGTAACTGTTTTATTTCAACATTAAAATCCCGTCAAAAATTGCGAGACAATCGCACCGTTTTAAAATTGTGGAAACTGTTTCTCTCGAAGCAAAGACTAAGATAATTTTTATACGCACGCATATATAGATAAGTTGATTGTTTTACGCAAGATTAAAATGTCGATATATATTTATATACGTTATACAGCAATGTATATGATAGTTAAGTTCATACAGATATATGTTTATATTTATATATATATATTACTACTACTGATGTTTATCTGCTGTACGGATGGTAAGCCCTTGCTCCTCTCATGTTGACACCTGATTGAGAATTTATTAAAAAAAAACAGTGTAGCGAATGCGATAAAGAAAATTTATTTTAAATGTATAAATTGCACTGTTGAAGAAATAATAAATTCATGCAAAATATCTTATATAAATTTAAATCGGACTGTATGGATGACCAACCAGATCTGAATCCTCTCGCAGCAAATGGTTGTTGAACTTCGTATGCATTAGCTCCTGTATATCCATAGTTGCCTGTGACAGCCGGCACACCTGTGTTGTCGAGACCACTGGCATTGCTTGGGTCGTAGTAATCATACATTTGACTATATAGGTTAGCCGTGTTGTACATGCCAGTACCTGCAAATTTTTTTTAGCAGAGGTTTATAACTACAAAGCATGCAAAACAGCATTTTAAATAGTAAATATTTTTATCAACTTGAAAAGCAACATAGCAACAAAAAAGCAACAAAATCATGAACATTGTGAAAAGAAAAACATTCTGACCTCGTCGCTTTCCTTGATTGACAGGGAACTTGGGTGTCAAGTCTTCTTTGGCTTGCAACTTTCTGATGTCAACCTGGAAAAAGAAAAATCTATATAGCATAGTTGAAACTACATTTTCAATTGAAAACTATCGATGGTAAAACAATCAATAAAATGAGATTATTTTCTATCACTTTGAAAGATGATATAACAAAATCCTACCCACCAGTTTTGTGCCCACTTGTATTTTGGACTTTTGACACAACTGGTTGACAGACTCCTCTGAATCAAAGAGCACAAATCCAAATGATCTTCTCTGGTTGTTTGACCTGTCAACTGGCAGTTCGACCAAAAGAACCTGTTGTAGTGCATAAGCTCTCAAATTAAGTTGTCACAAAATAATTCAGTAAAATAGCAATACTGTTTTTTCAGAGAATGAAAATTTGTCAAATATTTTTTAAATTAATTAGTTGTTCAACAGCAACATACATAACAGCCAACCTTTCCATAAGCATTGAATGCATCCATAATTTCCTGCTCCGTCATGGCAGGATCCAGACCTCCAACAAACACCTTCTTACCATTGATGCCTCCTCCTGTTTCTGTGGCAACTGCACGTTTTGGGTCGATGCGCTTGCCATACAATACATGAACCTTTTGCTCCAAAACCTGCGAATTACAAATTATGTTATTAATTAGCCAGACAGAGAAGGACAGAGTAAAAGCGGGGTTGTGTGATACTGAGGCGAGTGACAGATGTGAATGGCGTTGAGGGGTATTTCGGTTTCATATTAGGTAGCCAAACGGCAACCCCCGATTTCGGAGAAAATGTTGTCTAAACGTGCGTTGTTGTAATTAGCCAGACAATATTAAGAACCACTGAAATCAAGTTAATTTGCTTGAATCATTGACAAAAATATGAACACATTATTACAACATGTAAGAGAATGATCAGTAGAGGGCAGATACAAAGAAAAAAAATTACCACAAAAATACAACAGTATGATATATTATAGGCAAAATATTGAACAGCATAAAATTTTCAAAACCTTATCAACTGATTCTGGATTCTGGAAGAGTAGGAATGCAAATCCTCTGGATTGTCCGGTATAGATGTCTGTTTTCAACTTTACCTCAACAACAGGTCCAAAGTTCTCAAAGTACTCATGAATTTGATCTGCAAATTTTCAGGTGGAAATACGGTTAAGTGAATTCTATTCCTATATTCAGTTGCATGTACACTAAAATGTACACAACAGCATGAACCAACAGTATACATTTATGTCATCTGTATGCTACAAACCCAGCTTATTTGTAAAATCAATGTTACACATTTTTAATGTTAATAAGAAGGCAAACAGCAACTAACCAGCTGTAAGGGACCAGTCCAAACCTCCAATGAACATTTTGCTGTTAAAAGAAAAGTTTACATTTAACAGACACTATCAGAATAACTCTTAAAAATGTTTGTTAACCATGAAGTTCATGGCATGAACATATGATGTAGAAAAATTTTTCATTGTTCCTAAATGTTATGATGGAAAAATAATGACTAAACAACAATCTCAATCTCCAACCATAAATCCTTCAATCTAAACTCACCTCTACAACAACTTGCTATCACTTTTAAACAACATTATCACAATTAAGAAAAAAGAATTTGTCAGCACATGATATGATAAACAAAACAAATACTGGTGACTCAAATAAGAAGAAAAACAAATCAATAATTTGAATGTCATGACAGCAGGACAGCCCAACACGACAATACAAATAATAAGTATTCACCATGAATCTTCATCCACTGGTCTAACGACAGAACCATACGATTGTGAACTTGAACCTTTTTGAAAGGAGCCCCTCGATATCATGGCGCTTGGCCCCCTGTTGTTGGCTACCCCTGCGGCACCTCGGCCTCTTGTATTTCCTCTACTCGAGTATACTTGCTGCAGGTTCAAATTGTTTGATCACAATCAAGGTTCACCATTATACATTACAAAATTACAATGAAAAATTAGGGCATTGCTATTTTATTACTCAAACCAGCCATCCAGCTTATCAAATATAAAACTTATCAAGTAAATTTAAATACTTCTATCACATTTATAAAAGTTCCATTGCATGTATTGCTTGTAATAATTATGACTGATAGGTTACAATAACAGAGAGAATAAACAAATGAAAAAAGCAAATAAAATTAAGAAATTCAAACTTGGGAAACATTGTATCCAAGAGTTGATTGCTGGTTATAACCATCGTCATAATAAACTGACTCCTCTTGTTGTGCATAACCATCCCAGCCCGTAGTGGACCCCACCATCGTCGGCTGGCCCCCTCCCCTTCCCCCCCTAACACCCCTCACTGCCACAAGAGACCCCCTAGTGTTGTAGTTAGTGGCCGAGGTGGCTTGCTGATAGTAATTATCAACACCGTATTGAGTCGTTATATTATAACCAGCCATTTTTTAGATAATCCACTTCACACAATCTATATATATATACTTTGTTGAACTGTTGGGGGGGTATGATTATATACATGTTCATATACATATATAGATATATACAAATATATAAGTATATAAATATGTTATGTATATTATACATATATAAATGTATATACATAGACATTTATATACAAAAATATATAAGTATATAAATATGTATATATTAAAATTATATGTATATATTAAAACTAATTATAGTTATAATATAATTATGAATGAAGAATATATTTAAAAAGTATAATAATAAATTAAAAATATATTTTAAAATTATATAAGTAACAATTGATCCACCAGAAATTATGAAACACATTTTTATGCAGACCGAGGAAGAAAGGCTCAGAGTATTTTACAAATGCTCACTAGGTCAAAACATTGTGTAATTTTACCACACAAAAAACATTGAAATAACTTTTATAATATCATTTCAATTTTTACATTTTTTTATTTATTTATTATTATTATTATTATCTGTAAGTTCATATACCACCAGATCAAATAAATATCACAACTGGACTGTGCCACTATTGACTATTGCTGTGGTGATCGTGTTGTTGTTTTTTTTTAAAGATGTGATTACAGATCAACATTATTATATTTTATGTTATAAAAGTTATATATTATACACTACATAAATACATATACATAAATATATATGTATGTGTGTAGAACACTAAATTAAACTAAAGATACATAAATGTATATAAATAGGCACACAATCATATATAGAATAAAATTATAAATGGCGGATATTATTTATAAAAAGTTAAGCTAGCTAGTGAATCTCGCCTGTTGTAAGACGTAAGATCGAATCAAAAATTTTAGAACATGAATCGATAGAAATGAACAAAAATAAATTATTAACCGTCAAAATAGAGAAAAACAAACGAAAAATACTAACGAAAAATCTGCCGGGCCTTCGCGTTTTATAAAAACTCATACAACCCAACAAGCCGCAAAAAACGAGAGAAGAGAAGAAACATCTAATGACCACAAGGAACTGAAGAATATTTATGTATATATACAGCGCAGAACATTTAAATAATAGAAATTACAATGGTACAATATGCACCGTTTATTTAATTGCTTATTTTATTCACTTGCTGATTAGAAATTATGTAAGCTAATTTAGTAAACCACAAACTCAACCGATAAAACGATGTCACAAGAAACTAACTTGCAAGAAAAAACTACACATGGAAAAGTCAAGGTCATATACCAAATACATACACCATATATATATATATATATATATATCATATACATATATCAAAGTACGAAAATGATACACTAATGAAAATGAAGTGTTTGTAAAATGACATATGGCAGATCGCTGAATCCGCCTAAAAATTGAGCCTAACTTGACCTAACGGTGGACCTGGAATCGAACGGGTTGTTGTTGATTGAACTACATTCTACTGTATTGTATTGCGAAGATCATTGTATCGAAATTCCCTTGCATCAATTAACGCACATACAACGCGCATAAAACAGGAACATACATACATAAAATAAAACATACAAAGTGTTCAACATACACACACATACAAACAAACATACATACATACATACACACACACATACATATATACATACACACACACACACATACATACGTACTACATACATATATACATACATACATACATTCATGCACACATACATACACTTCACATTTGCTTACTGCCTGCCTACGCCGTATTTGCATACATATATACAGCATTGTCACGTGAACAAAAAAACTGCGACAAAACAATTTTTCCACAAATAGGAAACTCCTCAGAGCATCCACTGGATGTCATCTCCTCGTTATTTCTTAATTTCCTGGATTAGTCCCGATCAACATATAAGTATCGTAAGAATTAAAATTTCACTGAATTCTGAGAAAAATTTCGTATGTAAATCTTTGCTATGCCTATTTGATTTTTTTTTTATTTTAAAAGGATGATCAAAACGCATGATAGTTTTATGGTTGTTGTTGTTGTTGGTGAGGAAGGAAGATGAAGAAGAGGTAGATGATAATGATGATGAGAAAGAGAATTAGTGTTACCCCTAAGTTTGTGACCTTATTTTAAATATAGGTTTGTTACTGATGATGGTTCATTTTTGTTTTCAATAGAAAATGTTGATGAAAAACATTTAAACTCGACAGGGCTATTAGGAAAAGAAAGTTGATAATTATGGCGAAAATTAAACATCCAAGTAAATCCACACACATAAATTTGTAGGTACTGTATTAAAAAAACCTATTCACATGTATTCATCTTGACATCTTTACATATTTGTGTACACGTACACATGAAGTATACCTTGTATCTCCCACCACATCACAAATATAGACGGCTTGTACTAATAATGCACCTACATTTCAGTACATATGTAACTCGGTACGACTTTTTTTTTCAATTCATTATATTGTATTTATATTCATGCAACTCTATACACGTTCATACAACTGCATACAATTTCATGCACATTCGTACAAATCTTTGCATATACAACTGAATATATATATATATATATATATATATATATATATATATATATATATATATATATATATATATATATATATTATATATATACAACTGAATACATACACGTGTATACGAACATATCCATACAACAATTGTTATACACATCCCCCATGTTTGTATATAGGTACATATTTTTGTATTGCACCGTCTACATTGCGTCTACATTTCAATCGTTTTTCGTAAATTCACTGACACATGCACACAACCACAAACATCCATATCGATACACGTACATCCACTCCTATGGATACCAAATCAAATCAAAAATATTTTAAAAGTACACACACTTCATCATCACGCTTTTGTACACTTACGCATATTCATACATGCATATGTACGTAAAGCGTACACGCGTTCACACTTACATGTACGCATAAATATACTTACATAAATATACATACATACATATATACACATACATACACGTCCACCACACGCAGATATATATATATATATATATATATATATATATATATATATATATATATATATTGTATACATCAGTGTTATATTGTATCGAGCGGACATCAAGTAGACGCTAAAAATAGCCATTCAATTGTATGCTGCTGAAGTTGAATCATCACTCTTTTCTCTTCTCTATCTGTATGTGAGATGATGCTTGCTCACAATTCCATCACGCGTTTCTAGCTCGACATTTTATATTTCTTAGAAAATTTATTACTTCCAATGCCAGCAATTTAAAAAAATGACCGCTATATAATTTTTTTCCTCGAGCGGTTTATTTTTCGAATTTGAATTTGAATCTGCAACTGATATGGCGTCCTTAGTAGAGGGAAATCCTGGTTTAATTCAATCTTTCGTTGATATTAAAACCGGTTTATTTAAATATCTCAGCGTAGCGACGTATTCGAACGGAGACAGATTTGATTCAGTTTTCAATCTTAACCTCTTAATCTATGATTTCATCGCGGATTTACGCAAGTATTTTAGAGTAACTTTGTCGGAAATATGCCTTACATTCGCACTGGCTGTCTTCATGACTCTATTCAGACACTTCCTTACCACTCTACTAATTCAAGTTAGTTCTAATTTAATTATCAATAACATTCAAAATTTAAATATATTTTATCGTTTAGCTTTAGCTTTTAGACGTTTATTTTTAAAAATAATATTTAATTAAATTAAAAAATTATGTTATCTCAATTATTTTTTTTTGTTTGTGTTAATGATTGAAAATTAAAATAGATTCGATTATCAAATTTAGTTGTTTTCATTTATATCCGATAAATTTATTTTTTTTAAAATGGTGTTAGTCAGTGTCATAAATAAATAGAATAAATTTGATAGATAAACTAACTAAAACAAGCTGACTTTCAAAAAGTAACTTTTCTTTAAGTTTAAGGTCTGACTTCATGTAACAATCTCACAAAGTTAATTAAAGATGTTTATTTTAATTAAATAAAATCAGTAAATTTAAATGAATTGGTAATTTTACAGCCACTGGCAAGATACCTAAAGTTGAATGCCGTGAACATTGAAAAGTTTCCTGAGAGTGCATGGAAGCTGACTTACTACATCATCATATGCTCCTACTTGTTCCATGTCATGGTTTGGTCTGGACAGAACGATATCGTTCAGAAGCCTTACAACATTTGGAATGGTGATCATAATTAATTTCTGATTTATTTAGACGGTGCAGTGATGTAGTTGTTAAGGCGTCTGGCGCTGCTTTTGACGTGCTGGATTCAAATGCAAAGAAATCCCGACTTATCACATCCCATACAACGTGTGTGATGCGTTGATTCAATTCACGTGTTTTAACCAGTGTTTCAAATTCGGATGAAAAATTTCCAATTCGGGACCTTTAAAAAATCCCACTCCGACCTCTCAAAAACTCAAAAAAATCCGACTACGGGTAAAAATTTCCGACTCCGATTTCCGACTCCGGGTTTTGAATTACAGTAACATTTTTCAACTTTTGCATCATAATTTCGCCTTATTAACGCTACTGAATAAAAAATATTCTAGAAAAATACTTGAAATCATTCAATAGAATTGTTTTACTTATTAAAAATGCTTTCTTTTTATATTTCTCCGACTAGGGCACTCTGGTGTTTGCATGCATTTGTTGCATTTGTTGTTAACACCTCTGAAAATGTATTTTCATTGCAAACCTCTCTATAATATTTCTCTTGCACAGATGAATTAACGAACGAATGAATGATTAAAATAAATGAACGAGTGATTAATTTTTTTTTTGTTCACACAATTTCACAAATATAAACAACCAATCAGATTACTACAGCCAGAAAAATGTACCGTTGGATATCGGGTTGGCATTTCTTCTAGAGTTCTCCTACTACTTGCACTCCTTGTACGGCACGCTCTACCTGGATAGCTGGAGGAAGGACTCGCCAATCATGTTGTTCCATCACCTCCTCTGCTTGCTACTCATCGGGTTTTCGTACGCCACTAGGTTCCTGATGTTGTGCTATTGTGTTGTTGTGCTGTTGTGCTGTTGTGTTGTTGTGGCTGTTAGGATATATTTGTGTTTTTGTCTTGTTAATGTAATGGTTAAAGTGTCTGTACATACACGTGTGAGATTTCGTTTCGTATCGTTTTGCCTCGTACAATACCCATACCCGCCAATACCAATGACTATGCAGGTACCACAAAGTAGGTATTTTGCTGATGTTCGTTCACGATTACTGTGATGTCTTTCTAGAATTTTCCAAATGCCAAGTCTACATGAAGTACAGAAATGGTTGGTTGTTGGTTGGTTGGTTGGTTGGCTGATTGGTTGATTGATTGGTTGGCTGATTGGTTAGGAAATTGGTTGATTGGTTGGCTGGTTGATTGATTGGTTGGCTGATTGGTTGGCTCTTTGATTGGTTGGTTGGTTGGATGGTTGGATGGCTAGCTAGCTGGTTGGTTGTCTATATATTTATTTTTATTTTTTATTTATTTACGTGGTTCATGTCCTGTTAATGGTTAATTTTGCATTGATGGGTGTTTATAGTTCTAAATTAATTCAAGTACGAAAGCCGTAATTGGTCTGGCTTTAGTATTTTTCAACTTATAATAAAAATTAATCGAATATGTTAAATTGTGGGGACATATTTGCAGTTGTTTCTAATATTTTAGTACCATTATCACTACTATTACTGCTACTCTACTACTACTGCTATTACTACAATTTATTACAATCATTCTAGTGGTTATAACAAATTTAATAATATTAACATTATAACATTATCCCCTATGATCAATGAGTCACCAAATTACTTTCGTGTGCAATGTGCATACATTCGCACGCACACACACACATTCACGCACACACACTCACACATTCACACACACATTCACACACACACACACATTATTATCTACACCAATTAGTTAGTATGATTATTACGTGAAAGTAATTATTATTGCGAAGTAATGTTTTTCGGTGGTATGTTGTGGTTGATATTAATAATATGGATGCTATGATGGATTGATTGATAGAGATGTTAAGAAAAGAGAGAGTTAGAGAATGGGCAGATAGATAGAGAAAGAGAGGGAGGGAGAGAAAAAGAAAGAGAGAGAGAATTATCCATCATAATCCTAATAATAAATAAATGTCATTTTTAACCTTAAAACTAATGTTATAGACCAAATACAACAACTTTAATTTCAACCAGTTAATACTCACAACCACCATCAACCAACCACCACAACCCACCACCACCAACCGCCATCACTTACCACCAACCACCACCACTTACCACCAATCTAGGTAAATACCACCGTCTGAACGACATCATAGCCACCTTCAGCTTCCTCCTCTTCACCATTCTCTGGTTTGTCGGCCGCCTCTACTACTTCCCAATCATGGTCATCCGGTCCAGTAGCTACTCGACCATGTCCTCTAGCGTCAGTCAGCCTCTGCCATTCTATCTCCTATTCAATGTTCTACTGTGGTTTATGCTGGCCCTCAACGTCTACTGGTTCATTGTGAGTTTTCCTGTTTTAATTTTTTAACAGTTTTTTTAGTTTTTCTTTGTTTGGTGGTTTTTCTGTTTTTTCAATTTGTTTTAGTATTTTTCAGTGTCATCAACGAATGACAGTGCATTCGAACGCGGTTACTACGACATCAGCGCCGGACATCTTTTAACCATTACGACCCCGCGCCGTTGAACTTTCGAAGTGTGTGCCTGTGCATGTATGTATGTATATAATTACAGTTAATATAATTAATTAATTAATTAATTAATTAATTAATTAATTAATTAATTAGTACTATTGATTTCAAAAACAAATGTATTTATTAACTTTATTCATTTCATGTTAACCCGTTTTGAAAAACTCATTGATATCTATAATTTTTTCGTATTACTACGCTACCACCAGCAGTTAGTGTGTAATACCATTTGAAATGTTGATAGAAGATTGAATTATAAGGCTTTGACATTTTTTGACGTTTTGATCCGGCAATGATTAAGTTAGGATTTATGTGAAAAATTTGTGTTTTCCGGACTGACCAGATTTTAGGCTCAAGTATCATTGAAGTTCGAAACATTAAATAGGTGATGTTGCTATTTGCACATTATTTAGCAGTGGAATGGTGTAATGGTAGAGTTGAGGGTACGTTGTATGTAATGCAAGCAATCTCTCTGACTATTATTTATATTTATAAAAATTAATTAAAATACAATTAATAATGACATCATCATTATTGTTAGTTGAAGTCGAAAGTTACAAGATGTATTTCATGTCGTTTATGTTATATAATGCGTTTGTGTGGTAAGTGTTGGTGAGGTAAGTGTGCCGGTATTAACGAAATTTCCTGGATAGATATAAAATAAAATTCTACTCAGCTATCGCAATAATCAATCACTAAAATTTAATGATTTGAAGATTTATTTGGTTATATTATTATTATTTATTATTATTATTATACTATAATTATATTATTAAAACTTAATCTGTTACTGCTTGGTAAGAAGTCAGGTAGGAAACAAACAGTGGATGGAATGAGTGTGTGGGTATCATGAAAGCCAATTTGTAATTCCTTGCATCAACTGAATTTTCTACCTACAACAGATGCCAAATTAAATTTTAATAAATGTATTAAAAACAAGTGCGCCATATGTATTTATGTATGCTTTTGTATGTGTGTGTATGTGTGTGTGTTCGCGTTTATGTTTTTTTATGTATGTATGTATGTGTATATGTGTGTATGCAGCTGTCCTTATGTGCATGTAGTTGTGGGTTAGGTATGTCAATGTTGACGCTAGAGGCAATAATCTTTGCTTTGAGGGTATCATCTTGTTGATTGTATTGAGTGAAGGGACGTGTTCTTGAATGAACGTACGAACGAATGGATGGATGAATGGATGGGTAGATAGGGACAACGATAGTGTAATGGTTAAGGTGTCTGATACTGTTGTTGCAGTTACTAGGCTCGAATGCAAGCAGATCCCCGCCAATCAAATTTTATATGTCCGATGCGGTTTATTTACAATGTGTGTCTGTTGTTGATACCTCGGAGAAATACTAGAGAGAGAGAGAAAGAGAGAGAGGAGAGAGAGAGAGAATTGTAAAAACCTAAACTGATGTTACCACCGGTAGATTGATGTTATGTTATTATACATGAAAACTTGTTATTATTTTCAGCGCTTTCGTCGCTGGTATTTTATTCGTCGTCTCGTTTTTTCATTTCTCCATACTATAGAGAGATAGCTGGGAAGATAAATAGAGAGAGAAAGAGAGAGAGAGAGAGAGGGTAAATAAAGAATGAAGAAGGGTATTAAGAGCAAATACAGATGGATGGATGGATGAAGGGAGAGCCTGTGTGCATCGGCGGATTACTATCTCATTACCATCACCGTCATCAGCATCCTCTAATTCATCTTCGTTCGTAACCTTTATCGTGTTCATCTTTTCGTCGTCCTCGTCATCATCATCTCTACATCACCCAGCCAATCATCTTCTCATCACCTAGTCTTTCATCATCATCTTCTCATCACCTAGTCTCTCATCATCATCTTTATCATCATCTAGTCTATCGTCATCATCGTGTTTTTGATAGTTTTTTTCATCATCTGCTCTGTCTACTTCATCTTGGTCAGTGGCAAACATTTCATTCGCTTCCTGCTTTGTTCTTTAGCCACTGACCACTCCCACCTACCAATTTCATAATCAGCTTCAACACAGCCATCATCATCTTTATCATCGTCTTCTTCATCATCTTCGTCGTCATCATTTTTGTCATCATCTCCCTCATCATCATCTCCTTTATCATCTTCTTCATCATCTCCTTCATCATTTTCGTCATCATCTTCTTCATCATCATCAGCAGCATCTACATATTAGGCTTTTTTCTTTATAATACACAAATTTGCCTTTTCAATCATAATTTTATCATCGTCGTCGTCATCTTCATCAACATCTGCTCTGCTTCATCGTTATCATCATCAGCACCCTCATCATGACAATCACCATGACAATCACCATCACAATCATCATCACAATCATCATCATCACCACAATCAGCATCATCATCATCACAATCAGCATCATCATCATCAC